AGTTTATCACTAAACTGAAATATCAATTTTAAACTTTATTTTTTTTGGGGGGGGGAGGTTCTTGTAAGATGGACAGAATGCCTTTTCTTTATTATTTATTTTTACGTAGTGCTATGGATCAAACCCAGTGCCTCACACATGCCAGGCAAGTGCTAAGCCACTGAGCTTAGCTACAGCCCTTAAACTGATTCTTCTGAAATATAATCTCAGAGTTCTGGTTAACACACTGATACTTCCAATGGGAATACAAGGTTTTTCATGATTAGTATTTTGTGAAGACCTTTTACACATAAGCAATTCTACCAAAAACCATTTAGCCAATTCTTCTTATTTTGTGATTGGACTGAGGGCATATTTTCCCCATATGGTAAGAGCTCTTTAACCCCCTTCTTTCCAATTTGAATTTGGACTTCTTAATGTATGTAATCATCAGTGTTTGGCACTCAGTATCACCATTTGTTGACTCACTGAGGAGTCTCCCAACTATTAATCCAGTGCTCAGCCCTCAAAACATGCTCAGATGATTGCTAAAATGGGTAGGAAGCCACAAGAAAGCCATAAGCAAAAATAATACATCATTACCTGGGCTGCCATCTGGGAATGGAACTGTTGAATTTGAGCTTTCAAAGCCTCATTCTGCTCCAAAATATCCTTTCATAAATAGCAAACAGAAAGGAAAAAGTGTGCTATTAATAAATATCCCAACATTAATGAGTACAATGATTTTTACAGGTTCTCTGTTCATCTTTAAAAAGGCATTCTTAGATTCTTCATATTTAAAACAAGGATTAGACATACTATCCTGAGTTAATTTGTAAGATAGAGCTTAAGGATGTTTTCTATTCCTTATCTACTACAAGTAACCTAAGACTTGCAGGATGAGCAAATCTTTGACACAACATATGCACTCAAAGATTAAGTTATATCCACCACCCCTTCAGAATTATATCGATGTATTATCTTCCTTGATTTCTTGACTAAATACACATATCCTTTTTTTTTTTTAAAGTAAAAACAGATACCTGAACTTGCATTTGTAGAGACTCTTCTTTGTTTACCCTTTTTTGTTCTGATTCCATTAACTGCATTAGTCTTTGCTCCAACTGTTGTTTTGATACCAACGTATCTGTAAGCTTACTATGCAGACTCTGTACTTCATTTTCTTTGGCCACAAATTTACTCTGTAAATCTGTAATAAAACATTAAATCTCATGAAGGTCTCTTCCTTTGCCTAGTTCATGTTTAGTATAGGCATTATTTCCCCTAAAAAACTTTCTCAAATCCCTCCCATTTCCCCTCATACTACTCCTACAGGTGCCACACTGCTTAGGGTGAACTTGTTGAAAATCAAAGATTGTCTTTTCTCTACTCCCATAGCTGTACCCAATGTTTGGCACACAGTAAAATACTCAATAAATATATTAAGTAAACAGTAGATTTTTAAAAATTTTTATATCATTTCTTGAAAGCATTTCTTATTTCCCCAAAGTTACTTTAATAAGGTTATTTTAGTGAATTTCTCATAAATTCAATGAAGTCTGATATCTGAAAATACTCTATACTCTGCTACACACAAAAATGCTGAAGAAATTTATCATCTGAGGGCTAATAAATGCCCTGATTTATAATTCCCCTGCTTCTCTTTAAACAAAGTGAAGGCAAAATATGATCATAACTTGGCAGAAGGGCAAGTGCTCCAGAACCAAGAGAGGATAATGACAGGAGATGCCAAGTATCCTGAGAGCTGCCTCCCTGCCCTATATTATAAAAGAGTCCAAAATGGGGAGAGAGGAAACCATCATATATATAAAGATAATACAAGGAAAGGAAAATGCACATGTGAGTTTGTGTGGTGTGTGTGTGTTTGTGTGTGCATGTGCGCGCAACTGTTTTAAGAAAGGCAAGATGCCACTTCTATAAAAAGAACAATACAACTCAAAAGAGAACTCATGGATATTAAATGTGTAATAGTCACTTTTAGGATTAGATCTCAAAAGAGCATATTTCTTCATATCAACAACAAAAGTTAAATCATTGAATTGATGCCTTCAAAATTCTGTGGAGGCAATATTTATCAACCTAAAACTTGATAACCAGTCAAACCATCAATCAAGTATGAAGGTAGATAATAAAGACATTTTCAGATACACAGGACCTCCACAATTCAAGGGATTCTCACAGAGCTTTCAAAGATTTACTAAAGAAGAATAGCAAGAAAGTGTCAATGACATAGGATCCAGAAAGAAGGGTGGAAAAGACAAAACCAAGTCTCAGGAAGACATCTGTGGAGGCAACCAAGAAATCAAAAAGTACTAGAATAGAAAGATTGAAGACTCCAGGAGGAATGTCTCCAGGAAAAACTGGTAAGACTCTCTGTCTACTATCTAATCCTATTGAAAGGCAGCAGATAGCAAGACAGGGTTACAGAAAACTTAACTATAAATGAAGGTAAATTTTTAAACAATGAAAATATTAAGCAGGTGAAAACAAAGCAATAATTAGCTCCAGGAAATAATGTTCAAGAAAACAAGCACAGGTTTGATTGTTTTGGTACTGGGAACTGAACCCAGCAGTGCTTTACCACTGAGCTAAATCCCCAGTCCTTTTTATTTTGAGACAGGGTCTCACTAAGAGACCTTAGTGAGGTCTTCCTAAGTAGCTGAGGCTGGCCCCAAACTTGCAAACCTTTAGCCTCAACCTCCAAAGTCACTAGGATGATATGTATGCACCACTGCACCTAGCTCAAGAATCACATTTTAACATGCATCTTGGCTTAACATTTCATGATACAGTGGTAATGATATAAATAATGAATACTGCTTTCATCAAAAAGTATACATAACCACATCAAGACAATGAGAGATAAATGGGAGGAATGAGTATCAATATTATGTTTGTTTAGAAATATGGAGTATCACACAAAGGTCTTAAAACATAACGTTCTATCTATACTATTGTTTAGAACTTATATTCTAGCTAGCTCCCTCCTCCATGGGAGAAAGGAGTAATGGAGACAAATAACACACATAGTATAAGCTCTACTATCTCCCAATTGGATTCATCAAATTATGAATAAAGAAATAGTAAAAGTTAGCCTTTACTAAGTAGACAGCACTAACTGCAACAGTAGCGCTCTTGCTGTTTTTCTCTTCACAACATAGAAAATAAGTCTTTTCTTAGAAATAAAAATAAAATGAAGAGTTAATCAATGAGAACTTCAGAAAACAACCCAGCAGTTATGCTCCCATTACCCTATTATGTTCAATAATTTTGCCTACAATTTAATGTTTTGGCAAAGCTAGGAGGGTGCTTATTTTTAAAAACCCTAACATATGTCAAAGAAATAAAGACAATCTGAAAGGGCAAACACTACTTTTTGAGCCATAACCAAAATGCCAACTTATACTTTCTTCACAGATGGAGAACAAAGGAAATTTACCCAAAATTATACACTCAGTTCACATGTATGCTTCGTTTCTTCCCCTTACCTTGCTGGGCTGCCTCATGTTCTGCTGTTCTCTTCCTGATGTAGCTTTGAACTTCTTCCCACCTTCTCTCAGCTTCTTGTAGTTGAACCTTGATATTTCAGAATAGACAAAGAAAAAAAAAATCACCATCAACAAAAGAATTCAACTTTAAAAATACAAAAAAAAAGCATCTTCTACCTTTAGTGTTGTATCTCAAAAACTGTTTACTATATTTTAACAACATTTGAACAAAGTAGGCAGATAAGTACAGTATGACAGCCTTTTACTTATCAGCCACAGACATCCTATCCTCCAATACAGAGGATTAAGAGTGAAGGTTATTTCAGAAACTCAATATTTGTACTGTTGGATCAAGATAACTACTACTATGAACATATCTGATCCACTTAGCTATGACCTACTTTCCATTAATCTTTCTTCAGCTGATAAGCTTCCCAAAAGATGGTATATTTATTGTTAAATTTCAGTGAAACCCTAAAATTCATATTTTGAGATATAATATTTATTGTACAAAACTCCAATTTTGACAATAATCACTAATGTCATTTATCTATTTATCTATACCTGTAGAGAACAGATTTCCATATCTATAAATGCCTGAAACAAATCTCCCAGCAAAACCAGTCTTAAATAAAAAGACATTTATATCCACCTCATGCAAGTTCTAAGAAAATTTCAAGAAAAACAAGTTATACTGTTTTCTACACTCAATTACTATTCTCAAAATCTATGAAACCTCTACTACTCTGGAAATGATCTCAAGGTATGATTGTGTCACTGATCTAGATGAGAATCTGTCTAATAGAGTAGATTACACTGAACATGCACAAACTGAACTATACTTTCAACAAATCCCTTCTCTCGATAAGAGGAGGAATAGACAAGTCTCATCTTTCCACTCAATGGGTATAGGCTCTGGAGTGCAAATGAGAAATGAATCTGCCACTTCCTCAGTCAACCTGAGCTACCCCAGCCATCTCTTCACAGTAAAAGCACCTCACGATACCAAGTGTCATTCTGATGTCTGAAGACACAGTACCTAATTTCTGTACATGAAAGCTCAGGTATAAGCCATTGGAGCAGTATTTCATCTTCTGCTCAAAAACAAACAAACAAAAAAAAAACCCACCATCTATTCCAATGCTGGAAGAAAAACAGGTTTTATTGGACTTACTGATGAAATTCAAGTAACAGAAAATAAAAGTACTGTTAGAGATTAACTACTTGATTTTTCCTTACACATCTAGACCCTAAACTCCAAATATAAATTTTTACTTTTTAATACCTCTGAATTAGCTCATTTCCTTTTTTATATCTTCAGTCTTTGGTTTCAAATTCAAGCCTATATTCAATACTTTCATGAAGGCACATGCTTCTGTACAGGCAGAACACTTAGACAATGTGTCCCATAAAGGCTCAAACTATATTTTTCAAACCTATATACATATTTAGGTCAACAAATACTCACACTATTCATGAAATGATAAATAAAATCGGTAATCAATCACCTTCAACTGAGTAACTGCTTGCTCTGCATTCTTTTTTTGGACTTCCTCTTGCTGTAGCTTTCCTGTCTTCTCAGCCAGCTCATTCACCAACCTAGCATAATCCTGGCGCAGTTTATTGAGTTCTGCAGACTGCCTGAAAACAGTAACTGGATTAGGAATCTTCCATTATTATAAACTCATGAAGAATATACAACATATTTTACATTAGTTTTACTGAACTAGTAAGTCTACTTGTAAACAAATGACAAGGAACACAAGTAACTACTTACAATGAAATTTGGTTGACTAGAATAGCTAAATATTTCTAACAACAATTACACAAACTCTAAAATCACTATAAAGTATCATGAGAAATGGATAATCACAAACTCATGAGCATGAGTAGACAATGTCACCTCAAACTGGTCTTCTGAAAATCTATTAAAACCAACCAGTTGGCCAGGCATGGTGGCA